TGCAATACCGACCATTACACCACCACCAGCCAGCCACCAGCCGCGAGTCTCGAAATCAATCGAGAGGGACGTGGTCGTCTGCTCTAGTAGGGTTTCGATTAGAGAAACAGCAATCGTGCCAAGGCCCTGTCGTGTTGCGAAAGTTCGGACACTGGACGGTGAGAGGGGGGCATCTCCCTGGCGCCTCTCACCAGTGGGATGGGATGACACTCTGTTTGACTCTGCGTTTGGATCGGCGAGGGTGAGGGAACGCTGGCGATGCACTTATGAAGTCATGCTTTTACTCTGGCTCGTTTCAATGCGTGCCCCAGTGTTGGAAGGCAGAGAGAACAGCAATGGAAGGGCGTTCGTCGAGACTCAAGAGGAAGGGCCAACCTTTCTCTCTTCTTCGTCCGAGCTATCCGCTCACCTCTGCTTGTTTCGAAATCCAGACGGATGGCGCAGCTCATTACGAAGCCTTCTCCTTCTTCACCCCCTCTCCCCTCATCCGCACCGTCCTTCTTCGTCCGTCCGGTCTCTCTCTCTTGAGCCAAGCCATGCCGTGCTCTGCGTTGCTCGCTTCTGCTGGGGGCGTGAGAAACATGTCCAGGGACCATGCTTGGCTGGCGTCTGTTCCAACAAGGCCAAAACCATTTATGCTTCAAGAGTTGGGAGGAAAGAAGGTTTCGGAGGGTGTCAAAAAAGCAGAGCTTTGCTGATCAAGGCGGACCGACGAAACCTTGGGATCTTTGGACGTTTGGGCTGAGTGGTGATAAGGTAACAAGGTAGGTGGGTGGTCGAAGCGAAGTAGTCACGTATTGGTGTACCAAAGACAAGGAGGAGATGGAGGAGGATGAGGGTTGGGAGGATCGGGAGGGTGTGAAGGGAAACTCTGACCGCGCCAATACGTACCTCAATCTCAACCTCAACTTCAACTTCAGAAAAGAATGTGCGGAAGGCAAGGCCAGCCATGTGTACGTACCCGTGACAATTCACGGCCCTGTTGCTATTTCCAACTCTTACGCAATGTGAGAAAGGTAAGTAATTTTCGTCCAAGGTACGGATAGAGAGTGCCGTAAATTATCTACCTCACTGTCAACAAGACCTACGGGGACGGGACACTTCACCTTGCCGTTAGGGAACAATTGCCGATGGTAGCTCCTCTTCTGCATCTTGCATCGCTCTTACATGACGCTAGCGACGGTTTGATCACGTATGTATGGGCGTTATCTTCGAAGCGCTGGTCTGGAATCGGTAATTGGAAACTGCAGCTTGGATCGTCAAAGCACTTGTCAGACAAACGTCAACAACCTTCCATCACTCGACGACTTGTTACCCTAATCTGGACAAGGATTGAGAGAGACATCGTATCAGTATTGAAGTGATTCCCACAATGTCCAAACACATCACGCTTGGACAGATGCATCCGCGGTCCTCTCATCGTATTGCTTCTTTCTCTCCCTTGCAGCTGTCATGACACCACTACTCAGAACCAAAGGACGAGGTCACTAAGAATCACTGCAGGAAAAACAAGATTTCTCAAAACTCTGATTTCTCGATTCGCCGTTTTGAAGAAGAAAAAAAAAGCAAAATAAAGCCAACGCAATCATCGTCTGCATGAATCCCGCAGGACCCCAAGGGCCGCTCTAGTGTACAAAAAACTGCCGTAACAAGTTGTTTCGGAATAACCCCACGGTTGGGATGTGTTTGTGGTTCGTAGTCATCGCTTCATTTCTGCAAAGGGTGGAAAAGATGCCTTCCCAAGAAGATGAAAGAAATGTTGTAAATGTCCTCCTCTGCACTGCCAGTCGTGCCCAACCACCCTATTTCAGGGATCTAGCATCCAATCCCCTTCGCATGCCTCGGTGATGGCGTCGTTTTTTTCCCTCAAAAAGATAGGAGATGAAATGAAGAAATGGAAGAAAGGGCACCTTTCCCCTCCCGAGCAAAACCCCCGCCCCTGCCTGCGCCGGATTTCGCCCCAACAGTTCGCAGCCACCTTAGTCGTATTTGTTCGTGTACGATGAAGATGGGGTAAACGGTTTGCCGAAAAGCCCTAACCAAAAAAGACAAAGAAACCAAATTTCCCATAAGGGAGAAGCCAGCTGAAGCGAAGAACAAAACTGCGGCTTGATGCTGTAGTCTTCTTGTTGCACGGCGGAAGACACAAAAACTCAAGCAAGAATCAGACACTCCAAAGTTGTAAAGTAATACACTGGTAGAATCAAAGTGTTGTCTTGGTCGGTGCCGAGTTTCTTAGGCGCCGACTCTTGATTCCTCCATGCGTCTCACCAACTCACGCTCACGGGGAGAGCGAGGGTTGGCGTCAATGCCGAGAATGGCAGAGATGCGAGTCTTGTCTTGAGGTCTTTCGTAGCTATCGCGATCCAGATTGTCGGGGCTGGAAGTGGGTGTGATGGGTGTGCTGGCCTGCTGCTGGTTGCAGCATGCACCATTCTGCCATGCCTGCTCCAAAGCAACGGGGCTTGCGCCCGGGCCGTAGTCGTTAGCCACAGCGGCCCAGAAAGAGGCGCGGTGTGCAGTGTAGACGGATTGAAGGCGGTTCATGTCAACGTGTTGATGGCTGACGATGGACTGGGCAGAAGGAAGAGGGCACTCCAGACGCAGGGGTGGCGTAATAGGGAGGCTGCCGGAGATGGACTGGAAGGTGGCGGAGGGGAGAGCCGCGCTGCGAGGCTCAGGGAGAGGTGTGGGATACCCGCGGGTGGGGGAGGCGGTGGGAGGTGGCAGTGTCATGCAGACCGGCTTAGGGAGGATGGCGGGGAGCCTGGGAGAAGCCTCGTGGCCCATGATGCTGGGAAGTTGCATGGGGGCCGGCGAGTGAGGGGCGTAGCTGGTTGAGCTGCCTGGGGGAGAAACCGAACGAGGAGTCGACTCTCGGATCGAAGAAGGCATCGTCGGTTGCATGACAGGTGAGTGGGTGGTGGAAGAGCCAGAAGAGACCGAGTTGGCACGCTGCTTGCGTCGGTTGCTACCGTGGCTAAGCTGATGGTAGTGAAGGCGACATGCCAGCTCAGTCTTCTTCAGGTGAGCGGCGATGTGCTTGTAAGGCATCTTCTGGAGACGAGTCTGGAGGAGATAGACTTCCTGTGGTACGGTTAGACATTGTGGTCTCACATGTGACTCTGGATCGCAGCAGTCTTAGACTATCCGAGTGAAACATACCTCATCCTCGCTCCATGCTCTGCCTCCTCCGGTTGAAGCCGCCTTGCGGTTCTTGGTGATTCCATATTCATGACGATCCATGGCGTCGGAAGTGGGAGTGTAGGTGGCCGTGTGAGGCGCCAATTGCATCGTGGGAGACATTTTTTCTCGTTAAATCGTTTCGGAACAGTCGATGTTGCGTCGTTGTACCTCTCAGAAGTAGGGTAAACTCTTGTGTCTCTCGGTGGAGAATCTTCACGCGTTATGATGTTCGCGGTGTCCTGGAAGCTGGGTTTGATAAGAAGAGGCAGAAACTTGCTGCCAACGAATCGAAGGTTTGAAAAGTTGATTGTTGAAGAAAGGTGGTGTCCCAGCCGGAAGCTCGCAACAACGAAGTCGGCCTTTTGCAGATCCGTCAAGGAGAGAGGAAACGGATAGGCGAGTGGGGGAAGGTCCCAAAGAAGTGAAGTGAAGTTCGTTTGTTTGAATAAACCGGATAGGTCAAGATATATTGACAAAAAAGGTGGTGTTCAAGAAGCGTAGTCAAATGAGTGTGTGCAGCCAAGCCAGTTGGACAATGAAGGAAAGTAAAACCCTAGCTGCGGGAGAAGAAAAGAAGGACACGCAACTGCGCTTCAAGAAGACGAAGAAAAGGGATGTTGATGATAAACCCAAGTTAGGTAGAGAAGGTAAACAGAAAGACGAAATCTGTTCGAGATGGGGGGAGAGAGGGAGGATAAAGTAATATTGCAGCCTCAGCCAAAGTTGGACCTGGGCCCCAGTCTCTTCTCAGTTTCTATCTGGCAACTGGCAAGACGAGACAAGACGGGACCAGCTCTACCAGCATTAGACCGTATCTGTCCCCGTACCAGACAAGGCACCACTCACACACACGCCCAAAGAAGAAGAGCGGGTGGGCAGGCATAGCAAACATTGCCTCATCATGTTCGGGCGCTGGTACATGCAGGACAGGGGGTTCGCACACCGTCAAGTCTAGCCCTGTTGCAGATATTCAGCAGTGAAGCCAGCCAGACCCTGGAGAAGATGGGGTGGATGTGACAGAATTAGCAGAGCATAACGTTTGGTCTGATCCGCCTGGCCTGCTGCCATCCCCATTCACTGAAGGGGGAAAAGGAAAGAAAATGTGTGTGTGTGTGTGTGTGAGAGAGACCCAGCAGACAAGAGAGACAGAGAGAGAAACCAAGACCAGGGCCGGCAACGCTTGTGCAAGCCACACCCTGTTTGACCACACCCCTGTACGTAACTTGTTCGAGGGCAGGGCCAGAAAGAGGAGACGGACGAGGAACAGGCATGGGTGCGAGATTATGGATCCGGTGAGAGACGAACGTGCGTCTCAACCGGCCGCCATGATGGATCGAGAAAGAGAGCAGCCAGACTCAAGTGGCGCCCGCCAATAGACAAGCCAAAGTAAAATGGATGATTGCCCGCAACGAGCTGTAGCCTCGGAGGCTCGGATGCAGGATGAGCATAGACCAAGCCTAGGACCCCCCAGAGATGGAGCTTTCATTGAAGACTCGGGGAGCAAAACAGAACAAGAGAGATTGGGAAGAAGAGGAGAGAGAGGCTCTTGCAAACCTGGGACATGGTAAAGGAAAGCCACCAAATGCGTGCAGCGTAGCGTCTCCATTGCCGAAAAGAGCGGTGTCGTGCCTCCGATTTGTTTCTTCCCCTTCTTCGTCAAGGGGAGTGACTGCCTGGGCTCCATGCAGATTCAGTATAGAGCCTCAACTTGGCTAGTTTGTTGCAAGCATCTTGATGACCCGCCAGCTGGTTTTGGTTTCGGCCACGGCACATGGTCGGTGGATCTTGTTCATGACTGATGAGGAGGAGGAACTTTAGAGAATTCGGTCCTCTTTCTCTCTACGGAGTATGGTATTACTGCTGAAGGTAAGGATGGATACTCGTGTTGCGCGCGTGGCAGAGCGCGGCATAGTATGGGGCTTGGGATGGCGTGGCATGGCATCGCCGAAGGCTGTTTTGAAAAGTAATGTAACTTGACTCAGAAAACAAACCATTGATCCCTCCCGAGACCTCGACAAAGTTGACACCGTCACGCTGGGTCGGGTGGCTCGCAACAAGGAAGAGGGTGTTACTATTTGCGGTCGACATCTGGTCTCAAGTCGCGATAAGCATACGTTTGCTCGCTGTCGATCTCGCGGAGGCTTTGGCGAGGATGAGGGAGGGGAAGCATAGGAAGGGGAATGGCTGTAGCGTTTTGGGGCTCTGCGTAAGGTTGCAGTCTCGCACTTGCAAAGGGGATTCTTGGAACGACGATAGCGAGGTATTCGTGGGATCCGAACAGGTATCTGTAGGCTGGACAAGGCAGAGGGGGAGAAGCAGGGGCTCTGCGGGTACGCGAGGCATACATTCGCGGCATATGCCCAATTGAGCGGGAAACGGGGTATTGAGCAGGTTGTTTTTCCTCGTCTCGGTCTCGTATGGTATAGCGCGCGTGTACGAAGTATTGTACGTGCGGTGCAGTGCGGTGAGGTGAGGTGCGGACGGTGCGGTGTGCGGTACAGGACGCTTAACTGTGTATTGCGTATCCGTACGGTAGGTTACGATGTGTAGAAGGATGAGGAGAGGACGCGCAGGCTGCATTGCGGCATGGTCGTCGCAACCGCCGGCCGTCGTGGCATGGCCGGTGTACTCGGGATGGTACCTCGAGACTCAAGTGCCGTTTTGGTGAGGAGCAGGAACTGGTACACTAGTGACGGGCGGCGAGCGTTGGTGTTGATGCTGCCGCTGATGTTGTTCAGATTGTTGCAACTTGCGGGCAGTGGTCGTCGTCGTCGTCGTCGTCGTCGTCGTGACGGGATCGTGACCCTGTGTCTGAAGGTTGTGTGAGGATGTCTGTCTGACGTTTGACGGCGGGGTCAAGCGATGGACGGTACGTGTTACAGAGGCGCGCCTGTGACTGCCATTGGCCCGTTTTCGCGGCAGCCCCTGAGCCTTCCTTGCGAGTTGCGCGCACAGAAGGGCAAGGCACGCTAAGCGTCTACTAGTCTGTATTGGGTCAAGTCAGGAACAGAAACCACCATCACCCCGGCCAGCCTCGCAACCGTGACGGGTACGTAGCTACGTACTGGTAGCGTCGATACGTATCGGTTCCCGAGGCAAGTGAGCCCCACCTCACGACCCATTCGCAGTTTCCACCTCATTGCGAACCACCGGTGCGGCGGGGCCGAACACCCCTGTCTACTGTAACCGTCCTTTTGTTCACAGTGAGTGAATCTCTCCTCTGCCTACGTAGTGTGGTGTCTCCGTACACAGTTATGGATACGCCATTATCACAGTCAGTCAGTCAATTCTCGAGGCTTGAGGCTTGAGGCTCGAGCCTCCTTGACTTCGTCCCACGTCGTCGTCTCCCACTAGGCCCCGTTGCGGCTTGCCGTGTAAGAGCCTCCTCAATGGGAACAATTGCGCCAGAGCCGCTACTACCATAAGGTAGGGAGGGTATCGACGATTCGACAGGCCCAGATGCCAACCCGGCTGTTTGGTTTGATGTCAGGGCTCTCCCCTTCAAGGCTTCAACAGTAGCGCCGTCCTGTCTGGGACACCGAGTATCCTAACGGATATTTACTACCAGTTAAGAAACTTTGCGTAAGAGACATATTCTTGGCTTCGTCGCCCTGGACCATGACACGGCTGACGACTGTATTTGCACGAATAGACTCTTCCCGTGGTCCCATCTGATGATCAACAATTTTGGCACCCCTACCCCGCGCGACCTTGTCGAAGCGATGTGATGTGATGGCGTGTCCAGCCCAGGTTTCTGGTTTCTGGTGTCCGGTCTCCTTGTAAGGTGCGAAGTAGAAGCATAGGCGTTGGCATCTGCATCGAAACATGAGGCTGTTTCTTGTGCGTCCCTCTCTGACACCGCCTCGGCATCTGCGCTCAGAGACTAACAATTCTCACGGCGTGGTGGCCCATGGATGGTGCACTGCGTACTTGGTGCAAAGTGCTCGCTCATCAGAAACCAACAGTAGAGTGCCTGTCCATCTATTCTCCATATGCGACATTGCTATGGCAGTCATTGGATCACCCGGCATAGCGGCATGTTTGTCTAAATTGACTGCCCTACACTACGATGCCATCCAGGACTGGGATGCAGTCACCGCATTGCAAGTTGAATTGCCCGCACCCATCCATCCGCAGCCAAACTTAGCACACCCCTCATTCGGGTGTCATTGAAAGTCTCCGTACCTTATATGAGGGAAACTTACGGATAAACACGGACAGATGCTATTCATAAGACTTGACATTGGATAATTATCCTTTCCAGACACGCACTTCGTCATCGGCATCTCAACGTGGCCTCTCACACACATACTTTTCTCTTTTGGTTGGTCCACGGACCACTCAGTCAGTCACTTTCTCTCCGGCAGTCACAAGTGACAAGTTGACAAAATAAATGAATTCGTTCTACCGCAACTCACCTGTAGGGCAGGCACTGGCAGGTTTGTCGACATTCCCTTCCTTGAGATTCGAAAGTATCCTCCCCCGCCTTCCGTGGGTGCCGAGCCGCACCAAAACATTGAAACTCACACCACTTTCCTGCCAAGATGTGGAGAGAGTAATAAAAACGCTTCACCTGTTTTCGTAACGACAGCACAATTAAAGGGAGAGGGCAGGTCTTGTTCGTACAGAAAAAAATCTCCAGAGAGCCAGGGGGTTAGTACAGAAGGGGGGTCTAGTTTCCAGAGGAGGGGGACTTTGCTCTTTTTTGCTCGTCAAGCCGTGATCATTTGGGAATCCCAGGCCGTTGCTGCCTCTTGGTGAATTTCCATGTCCTGGGCCCACGTCCCTTGAAACTCGCTAGTAAGCAGGCGCAATTTCACCCACGTCTCAGCCCTTTCCCTCTTGGTCGCCCTTTCCCCCTGACGGCATACTATGTACGATACGTACCGAAAAGGTGTGGCCCTCCAGCTGTACGTACCCTTCCATCCGCTTTAATCGTGGGCTTGAGCCACTCACACAGCACACATGCCGCCCACCCCGTGACTGAAACCAATCAAAGGTGTGGCTGTCGGCTTCACCTTACTGTACACGATACGTACCCTCAAACCTCTTTTTTCGTCCTTCTTTCTTCCCACACCCGGGACTTCGTCACCCCTCCATTTTCCTCCTCCATTTTCCACCACTCACCTCTCTTCCCGACGACATCTCTCAAAAACTCAGACAGACGCACGCTGCGAACAGACAGCCGACCATCCACACCCTCCCCTTCCCTTCCTCTGACCGACGGGACGAACATGGATTGCAAGAAACAACAGAGGGGCCCTAATGCAGGAAACCTTATTTGTTTCTTAACAGATCTCTGCTGAAACTGAATCTGGCTTGCACCATGCCACCATGCCACCATCTCCAACGGGGCGTTTCCGCTTCCAGGCACTCCCCTCCAAACGGTCTCTACTACCTACTCCCGAGTCTCTACGGAGTGCCTTACAGAATATGGATACACTACCGTACCGTCTGGCGTTAACCCCGCTCATCACGCGCGCTCTTTCAGGTCCATGGCCCTTTAATCGTCGTCCATTGAGCTTCCCTCACCCCATTCTGCTACTGTCGCCCGCCAAAAGTTATGGCCGAGAGTCTGGGCGGCTGGGCCACACCACACAGAGTTCGACATGTCTGAGCCAAAACTCGGTCTCGGGCCCCCTCCAGCGTCTACCCTTATCAGGAATAGGATTCGTCTGACCTTTTCGCCCTACCAGCCTGTCAAACCAGACTACTGGCACGCTGCCTAACCCGACGGACGGGTCCACCGAGTCATATACCGTCCTCTACTAGCCACCACGATTCACAGATCGTAATTTACATCCTACAGGAGCAGAAACATTCTCGCCGCCGCAGCACTAACAGAAACAGGCTGTTCCTTGGGCAGCTTCACTGAAATTGAGAAAGCCGAGCCACCATCGGCGCCATGGAGATCGAAACACAGCCCGCCGCCGCCGCGGGCTGCTCGTGGCCCCCAATTCTCCGTGGCAAAACCATGAGTTGCGGCCGTCCGCTCCGGGACTTTTCATTCTCCTTGCGCGTTGCGCACAATGAACATCGTCCGGCCGCCCGTTTGGCCCCCGTCCCGCAAGCTCTAGCAAAGCCACGATACTGAGCGGAGATAAACCATGATTGATTACCCTCTCGAGCGTCAACCCCGGCACCAATTAAGTTCCGCCATCCAGGCTCCAGCGTGTAACCTGGCGGCCCTACCAATCGATGTCCCTGATCGCCCAAAATCCTCCCCGGCATGTAAGAGCCTCCATCCAGCCAAGAAGGCTCAGAAACAAAGGGACTTGCCCCTCCATACGACCAAGAAGTGGAAGCAACATATCACGGGGCGGATGCTCATCATCCGGTTCAACAACGGCCAGGAAACTTTTGGCCGGCATTGTGGGAAAAGAGCAGGAAGACTCAATATCGGGATACCTGGGGTATTGAAGGGATCGCCCGCATCCCGCGAGTCCAGAAGCGCCCGCACCCAGACCTAACCGGTGGGAAATGCAGACCAAGAAGGTCTCCGATTCTTCCAGGAGGAATCGCCAAACGTCACGCCCCCTGTCTGCCACTCTGCCATCTCATCTCCAATCTGGTGATGGCGGTGATGATCTTCGGGAAGGCCATCAACCGAAGGCAAATGTTGACGGGCGCAAGTGTGGTTGGTGGAGTTAAGATGTCATAGAGGAGGCACAAACGGCCGCATTAATCGAACCCGTGGTTGGTTCGGATTCGCGTCAAGATCCGCCTACCATGCCTGGTGCTGGGACCGCACCGGACTCGACTAGATGAACAGTAACGCCCGGTTCCCTGACAGGAGCTTGGCGATACTCTTTTCGTCTGATCTCTCGACCGATGGATTGGGGCGGCCCCACACTCAACGGTCCTGCAACAGTTCACTACGAATACAAGTGATCCACGGAGGACGGAGGCTAAGAAGAGCGAGATTACAGGTCCCGGCTTTGACACTGTCCGCTGCATACACCGTTCAAGTCAAATCCCTAGTGTAATAGGCCAGTTCATCTGTCGGACAGCCGGATACTACAACTGCTTATCGACGAATAAATTCGGGAAAGCATACTAATCACCATTCGGAGGGTTACACAGATCCCGCAATTATTCAAGGAATTGTCCGACATGGTGCAGAAAAGATGCCTAGGAAATGGAACGTCGCCATACCCAGCTTGTTCCGCGTGTCTCGCATTACTCGGCCGAGTAAATACGTGGAGGTTGGCCGGCCCAGCCTTGTGGGCCAGTGCTCCTGCTTTCCACCAGGGCGTCCCATGCGACGTTCTCTCCCTTTTGCTTCAAACCAAGAGCCCCGAAATACATAGGGGGTGAGCCTCTGCCCTTTGAAGCAGGTGGAATTGCAACAGAGATTTCGAGCAGCGGCCCCAATTGTTCATGACGCCACGGATCATCGTTAGATCGTCTGGTCGTCGGCCGTCTCAGCAACTCGCATGAATCCTCATCGTCCAATGTCTTGGAAGCGGCACTTTGAGAGAAAACATCGACAGAATCGACAAACTTGCTCGCGACGGGCACTAGCCAGCGTTCCGATTCACGGCTTGGCCGAGCCCAGGGCCACCCTGCGCGAAGACGTTGGGGTGAACGTGTCTTCAGTCATATGTTGCTCAAGAGCCGCGAGTCTCAAACAATTGGTGCCGGAACCCTGTGACCAACATCGTTTCATAGCTGGGGTCTCTCAACCCGACCTGCCAAGGAGGCATAAAGTCTGTCCATGTTCGGAACGAACATGCACGTCCTGGCAAGGAATGGATGGCTTCACGGAGTCTGATTGCCCTACGCGCATGAAAGCGAGAGACCGGATGGCAGTAGACGTAGCCGGGTCAGGGCTCATGAGGCCGTTTTAGGTTACCTGTCGACAACATGAAGCTAAACGACAGCATCGAGCTTGGCATGAACTTGGGGCTCATCTTTTTTGGTAGTCATGGGGCTCATCCTCACGCCTGGTGCGATCTGGGGTCATTGCCAGGGTCGGGCGAGCCACCTTGTTTCGTCGCCTTTTTTTCGGTGTTTGAAACAATTCTTGTCTTGGGAGAATAGCAGCATCGCTTTTGTTTTGGCGGTCAAGCTGCCCAGGTACCGCTTACGTGGGTGCGCGGAATACGCGGCCAATTGCACAGAATGTGCCGGCGGTCAG